ACGTGACGTGTGACGTACGCGGATGAAGATCGGCTTTAGAGCTGAGATGTTTGTTCTCACGGTGCGGGGGCTCGTTCCGACGCCCACACAGTAAAAACATGCAAATGAAGTCGTCATTGGCAGCGAATAAGTTAACGATCTAAAACACACAGAAATGATTCTTCTGCTCTATCGCCATTCAGAAAACTCCAGGTGTTCACTCTTATTTGACTCCTATTGTGATCAGCAGTTCTTTTTATTTTTAGATTCATAAATGTTTTCTTTGTCCACCATGATAAACACATTAAAACAGATGCTAACCAGGTATAGCTCATCTGGTCTGAGGTGTAAACATGGAAAGTGTGACGTTGTGAGACTTCAGGGCAGCTGTCTGGACTGCATTTGTCTCAGTGAGGTTTAACATCATGTGATGCTGTTGCATTCACTTGCACCCTAAAAAGTGTGTAAATGACCATGATGCATCATGTCAGTGCTGTCATTGATGCATGTATTAATACAAACAGGATAAAAAGTGAAATAAATGTCATAAATAATTGGATGAGTTCTCACTATAGTACTAAAAGTACCTGGGAAATATCAGCCCTGTCCCCGTCAGCATGAGCCTTCGGGGGTGTTGTCTGCTCCTGAGTGCTCTGCAGATGGACTGTGCTGCTCTGATAGAATGACGCATGTCCATAAAAAGGTTCTCACTTGCAGCCGCACACGTCTCCATGGCAATTAGCATGTCAGAGTGTGTGTGACTGACAGCTGCCACAGCTGGGTTGCAAAGTGCTGTGAGCCGAGCTGGTCAGGAGGCCGCGGGGTGCTGGAGGCGACCAGAACAATCTCTCGCTAGTTTCTGAGACACGTGATGGAACAGACCTGTTTGTGTCTGCTGGAAACAAACATGGCCGCATAGCCGCTTTATTTCTATGTCAAACACCCTTTCAGCTAAATAAAACAAATACATGTCTCACAAGACCCTGCGTGTGTTTACTTCATCACTTTTTTTTAATTTCATGTGATTTTCCCTTTTCTTATGATGGAACGTTTTATTGTGAAAATACTTCTGATTAAGTTAAAATCAGGGTTCAGGAACTCTTTACTAGACTAAGGACAGATGTGTGATGTGAGTGGTGTCATTAACCACCAGAGTTTACTGACTGAACTTTCACATGCACTTTACTGGTTTAATCAAATTCAAGATGGCTTAAATATGCTGGATATAACTTTACAGATGTTCAGACAAAATTGTATTCCTTGCATGTGAACTGATAGCAACTGATGTTTGGTCGCACATGTAATTTTTTTTTTCAAGATTTGACAAAATTCATCATATTATTCATCAAAGTATTTCTAAACAAACTATCTGTTCAAGAAATGCTGTGAGTCTATACTTTCATTGTTACTCAGGCGTTTTTCTAAGTACAGATAATATTTTCAGTTGTGAAATATATCAGAATCATTGCTGTTTGTTAGTAAATAGGAATAAATAGATCAATTTAAATACATTTAAATAGAAATGTATTCCCAATTATTAGAATTTATCAAGTTGCTAAAAGACCCAATTTATTTCAAATAACTGTTTTAATTGATAACATTATAAACAGTGACATTTTTCATTCATTTATTTTTTATTTACTGCAAATAATTATTTTTTATTTTCAGATTTTTTAAAATCTAAATATGATTTTTTTCAGCACGGTGAAATATAAAGAAGAATAAAATATCAAAATGATTTGTCTGCTCAAATGGTTATTTCAGCTTCTTGAGCAAAACACATTGGTATTATAGTGTAATGAGCCAGACACTCAGTCAGTAGGGAAACATCTCTAACTAAGTTAGGTTATTGTTATTATTATTGTTATTATTATTATTATTATTATTATTATTATTATTATTATATTATAATTATAATTATTGTTATTATTATTGTTGTTGTTATTATTATTATTACTATTTTATAATAATATATTATTATTATTATTATTATTATTATTATTATTAAATCTATTCTAGTTTTTGTATTAGTTGTTGAAATAAATACAAATAATTATCGATGCCTTCAATTATTTTGTGGTGCCAGATATTTCAGAACTCTGCATAAAAAGAGAACAGCTGTCCAGTTTTTTATACAATCTGGATAGTTGCCACTATTCCACACCAGTACTCCCCATAATGCATTGTGACATAAAACAAATTGGGCAAATGTTAGCAGATAATATAAAAATAGACAGTATTAGTTGGATTTTCATGTGTATTAACATCACGCTCAACCTGATTGTCTCAGCAGTCTCCTCCTTCCCACACTTCTTCGGGGGAGAAACACACAAATCTCGTCCCTAGCCCGAGTTTTTACGACAGCTCCTGGCTGAGTTCACATGTGACCGATGGCAGGTGGTTGGGAGGCGGGAGCTGCTTTCCCATTCAGCACACTTCACATCCGAGCCCTTCATCTGTCACCGCAGCGGGCAGGACTGGGATGTACTGCCAGGGCTATTCCTGGTTCTGCCTGTCACACACACTGAAAATGTACACATACACACGCACGCACGCACCGCACGCACACACACACACACACACACACACACACACACACACACACACACACACACACACACATGCACGCACGCATGCACGCACGCACACACACACACACACACACTGAAAATGTACACACACACGCACGCACGCACACACACACACACCTCTTTGGCCATTTCCCCCATGTCTCCATGAGGTGGGCATATTAACTCTGGCAGGTAGTTGCTGCAGCATGCACCAGCTGTCCTGGAGAGATGTCTGCTGGGGAATTAAAGATCAAATCAGAGTTCCTGACGTGTGCTGCACCAGGTGGAATTTAACAAAGGAATCCACAACTGAGCAGCCAAAAACAGAATCAAAGACTCCATTCTGGAGGTTTATTCATCTTGAAGACTAATCCTTCCACTTTGATGCCAACAGGATGTACAGCAGGTGAAATTCTAACTTTTTCCCTCATTAATTGGCTTTATCGGTTACATCTCTCTTTGGTTTTCTTAAAAATATCTAAACATAGTAACTTCTACCTTATTTTAATTAAAAAAAAGTATCAAACAAAGTCAAACATTACACTTTTTAAAAAAAATTGTAGTTTGTTAAAATGGCCCAATTAGTTAGCCAAACGGTAGCAGTAGTGAAGGATTTCGCTCTGCAGGTCAGTCTAGTCGTGCTCCGTTGTAGTCTCAGCAGGTGCACCATTAGCTCGACTAAGTTCAGGCTGAGCCAATCACAACCCACAGGACCTTACGGCAGAGCTTTATTTCCTTTATTAGAATACCGGCAGAGAAACACAACTCATTCTGCTTTGGCATAAACTTTTGTGACTTGGGCTTTTCTTTGAGACATGAACAGACAGAGGAACTCAAGTCCTTTTGTTTTGGAAAAATTATTACATGTGGCAGACTGCCCCATTGACTGATTCTTGTCATGTTGTTCACTGCTCTGATTGGTCCTGGCGCTATCCAGTTGCATGCCAAGACAGTTTGAAAGACAACTGTAGATTTCACCAGTACTACTGAGCTCTGTCCATGGGTCGTCGCCAGTGTGTGTGTGTGTGTGTGTGTGTAGGATGGTTTGCAAGGCTGTTTATTATTTGTAAGAGTAATGTTTCTCCTGGCTTGTGTTTACATAAACTAAGGTAGGTTTCTGAAACTAGAATATACAGTTGTCCCCCAAATGTCTCCTCACTGGCTAAATGTGAATCTCAGGGTATAGTTGCTTGTGGAAGCTTGGCGTTGCAATAGGAATTGGATCGGCCACAGAGCAAAGCTCTGGTACGGGTTGGATGTCTGATTTAAAAAATTACAGATCACATTGTTGAAAGAAGAGGAGACAACACTGCATGGATGTAATTGTCACTTTAGAAGTGGGGGGGACATGGGGGGAGGGGGGTCTTTACAGTATGCTCTAATGGGAAACAGGCTTCAACACAAACGGTTGTTTTCTGCTTGGTCCTAGAGCTCAACTAGTGTCAATTTAATGTAGCGTAATATTGTTCTTGGATTGTAAAAAGTGCAGGGGTCAAAACTTGACTTTGGAAAAAGTGGGGGGGGGGGGGGGGTATGCCCCCCCCCCCCCCCCAAAAAAAATTACGTCCATGCAACACCGTCATTTAGAAATATCAGTGGGGACATGTCCCCTGCGTCCCTGGTTAAATTGGCGCTTTCGAATATTACGTAAAGGAAATGTAACGTGTTTTTAGTTTGTATTTTGTTCAGGTGGATCTTGTTTGTTTAGGAGTGACCTGATAATTACTGTGTGCTTCTTGGCTCATTCAGAAGTCACCAAGGAGCTGACAGACTGTCAGAAATAGCTGCATCTTCAGATGTGCAGCGTCCCGGTCGCTGTGAGCAGCGGCACACCAGCCGCTCGTTTAGTCGGGTCACAAACGCGTCATGCTGTGTCAGCTGTCGACTAAATTACTGTTGGTATTCTGACTCCTGCGTCGTGTCTGGGCAATCATAACTTCTTATGATCTCTGCTCAGAAACACAAATGAAAATCAATATCTTAAAACAGCCCAGGAAGTAAACCAGTACATTTAAGGTGAATTTAGATATTGATTAGTTTTAATCAGGAGAAATCCTCCGTTCTTAAACATTTATTTCGTGTTTTTGGACTGTTGAGGATGGATCATGAGTGGCATTCACAGAGAAGTTTCAGAAATGTTCATTTTCCCGTGCGAGGTGCAGGACTTTGCTGTCGTGTTGCAGTCATTTTAAGCAGAAAGATGTCGAGTTTATGTCACACACATGCACACATGGAAACTTGGAAAGAGCTAAATAACATATGTCAGCTGCTTCCTCTAAACAGAGCTGCTGAAATGTAAGTAATGTAAGTTTGCTTACATTTCATTCTACACGTAATTTTTTAGAGTGTGTCCAACTTTTAATAAAATAAATAGATTTAACTCATTCTTCAGGTTTACTTTTGACTCATCCCTGTTGCTGTGTGCTTGATGTGCTCCATGTGCTTTCGCAGTGTCTGCCGCTCCGTGGACACGGGTTTGTGTTGGACAAGTACCGGTGCAGCTGCAAAAGCGGATTCTACCATCCCAGCAGAGTGGCCGTCAACGGCTTTAAACGTGAGTCACAGCAACACCAGATTTGTGCTTTAGATGTTCTTCCTTTCAAGATAAACTATATTTAGGAGCTCAGAAGTTAGCTTTTTTCTCCCGCGTAGAAGAAGTGGCAACGAAAGGCAAATAGTGCTGATAAAAAGCCGGTTGAAATTTGTTAGAATAAGTCACAAATTATCAGGTAAAATATTAAATTTAAGGTTTCCAGTCACACTCCTGACTCAGTGGCTGACTCACCTGTTCAACAGCCTAATAATCACCTGCTGTTTAAACTTCGCAGCAGGGGCAACACATTCTCACACGCGTGTGACCGAGCGTCGATATATGATGAATCGTGACGCCCCAGAGCGCCAGGAGACGGCGATCAGGGACACGCGGCTCCGCTGGCGTCAGTGTTTGACGCCCGCGGTCACACGGACACGGACGGTCACACCACAATCCTAACGGTAGGGTCAGTAACTGTGGCCTTAAGGTTAGGATTGAGGTGAGGGGAAGGTTAAGTAGTTCACAAGTCGTTCTAATGTCCGTGTCAGCGCCGGCGTCGGATACCGACGCTCTGGGACGCTGCGTCATCAGTGCGTCCCTCATCGTCTCCTGACGCGCTGGGGCGTCCCGAACCGTCATATATTGAGGCTGTGTCACATGCATGTGAGAGGGACCAGGATTCATCACCTTTGTGTTGAACTCACCTCTGACTTTACCTGCTTACTTTACAAATTCACCATTTCACAGAAACAGAACTTTAGGGCTCGGAAATGTAATCAAATTAATAATTTTATGAATATTTGACATTATTAATTGCTTCATATCAATCTAACTTGCTCAGTAACATGCATACATTTGGCTCCCACCCTCGTTTTTAATCAGATCATTATTTAGGCTTTTTATTTAATTTAATTACATCGGCTCATAAATTCAAATCCCAAGTATTAATTTTCCAGATCCATCAACACCGAGCCGACTTTCATTTACTTACAGCTCCATAAATCACTTTCAGCCAGTTGCTGTTCACGCACTAAATGCATTTCCTGTTCTGACCTGTCTAAATGCTACACAGATGTTTGGAAATGTTGTTTTTAAATGCAATATCAGGAAAGTAGGACGAAAGTTAAAAAAAAGTACATTTGAGTTTTCTAAACTAAAAACTGTTTTTTTTAAATTTCCTATCTCAATAAAGGACTAGAAGATACAAATGTTGTTATTGAAACTTTTTATTTATAGTTATTGTTCATATTTTTGACATTTACATTCAGAAATGTGCAATTTGTACTAACATGGTGTTGCAGAAACATCCTTAATTGCAACCAGATGCTATCTTTAATCTCAGATTAGAAGATTGCTTTGCAGCAGATTATATTTAAATGAAATACAGCTGATGACTTGGGTTTATTAGGAGGATTTTGACAGAACTTAAGTCTAAAAAAAAGAAGCATCAGATTTTTTTAATAGTTAGTTTTCTGTGCAGAGATTTTTCAGCTTAACTATTTTGCTTCCTTTTGTCTAGTTTTGCATGATTAATGCACTCTTATTTGACGTTACGTTTCCCGTTTCACACACAAAAATAGTTCAGATGTGTTTTTAACCCTCTGGAGGCAGGCGTTGCAGATTTGCAACATTAAAACCTACCTGGTTACTCCACGTACGTATCTCATGAGCATTTTTGAACTCAGATGTACCCCTGAAGGACTTAGTTGTTCGTCCTTTTATCAAAACTTATTTTGAGCCTGAGAGGGTTAAAGAGTTATGTGTAAAAGCCTGAGTTGATCCTCGTGAATGCGACAGTAATGAGGCAAAGCCAGTGGAAAGCTGCAGGGAGGCCTGCATGGGGTCCTAACCAGCCTCTTCATGGGAACCTCCCAGTTCAACACAAGTCTGAGACACAAGTTGCTGCTGCTGTAAGCTTTCCTCGACTTCAGCAGTGAGAGCTGCACACGACTCGCTGCTACAGAGACAAGTTGTCTCCTTTTGAAGAGGATCAGTGATGTGCAGAATCGTACAGCTTTGGAAAATGGGCCGGTGTCTTGTGAAAAGAAAAATCCCAGTCATTCTCAGCGACAGTAGGTCCTTTAAAACACAGCCTCCATTAAGTCCAAAAGCTGTTAGCTATCCAGCCTCATGGGATTTCTGCACACACCAAAACACACTCAGTTTGTCTTTGGTCCCAAAAAACATTTTTGGGTGTTGTCAGGATTTATCTCTGTTTCCTGAGCAATCACAGGATCATTCCACGTGTTGGTGTCAAAAATAGTGCAGCTTGAATGATGTCATGTCTGTTTTCGTCAGTGTGTTTGTGCATTATTATCCCTGGTTTACTAGGCCGCTGCAGTTGTCAGCTGTGGAGACGGTGCAGCGTGCTTATAGATTTGTTTCTCCTGTGGTGACCATCGACATATACGCTGGACAATTCATGTCCACAGAGGCTTGAATTATAAGGTTTCACTTCCAAATGGGAGGTTCCCATCAACGCCATTTTGACTGTGTCACATGTCTCGTCACGCCCAGACAATCCAAAAATGGGAAAAGAATTGGAGCTGAGGGTGGATCAAATGAGCCAATGTAGCTACTAACTATCTTAGCTAACCCAAGTAGCAAGGGGTTCCGGGGACCGGAGTAGCCCACCTGCTCGATCGCCTGGCTCCCGTGCGAGGCTGCAGTCACGCTGGTGGTGGAGATCTAATGTGTAACTGTTAAATTACAAGCAGAGTCTCAGACTGCTGCGATCGTAGCCAGGCGTCATGGCCTTTTACATCAGCTCATGCTCCACAGCCGGAGATCAGCGGGACATCAGCTACATGCTAACCCGAAGCTAATAGAGTTTTCCCGGGCGATTCTAGCAAGGAAAACGCGATAGAGCGACTCCAAAGTTGCTTACTCTGTTTTTTTTAAACATTCAAATAAAACTCACTTTAAATTTTATGGACAACTTATTTTTACTTTCTAGTGTGTCTAATCCTCTTCAAAGGTCATAATATTATTTCATTCTCACATATGTATGTATTTATTCATTTATTTATTTTTTATTTTTTTATTTTATTTATTTATTTATTTATCTATTTATTTATTTATTTGTTTGTTTGTTTAACCAGGAAGTTCCCATTGAGATTAAAAACCTCAATTTCTAGGGAGTCCTGGCCAGGAGGCAGCAAAAGTTAGTTACAAATTTAAACCTGACAAGTAAAAGTATTTTTTTATATTGAATGAAAGGTAGAGCTTCAGGTGACCATTGGAGGTGTGTTTCTTTTTAACAGAGACCAGTAGAAAAGGAGAGGCTGCAGCTGGAGGTCCAGGTTCAGAGGACAGCTCCTCCATGGACTGCATGCCGTGTCATCAGAACTGCGCCTACTGTAAGGACGACTCCCCCTGCGTGGTGCTGGAGGATGGTGCTCTTCGTCTGGCCGTGCTCTCCTTTCAGTGCCTCTGCATGCTGATCGTCTTCATCAGCATGGTGCTCATCTACCACTTCCGCAGGACTAAGGTGTTTAAGTGATTAATGATTGTTTTCATACAGATTAGGAGTTAATTTCCTGTTTAACAAAATAAAATCCATTCATAGTGAGGAGAAACGGTATTTTTAAAGGAAAGCCTCAGCTGCGTTCTGCTGCCTGAAAGGCCCTCGGCCATCTTGTCAATTAGAGAACGCAACGTTGCAAAAATACAATATTTAACGCAAGAGGAGAACAGAAAGTCCATGAAAAAATAAACAAAGGAGAAACGCGGTTCTCCTACAACTTCATTCATGTGAAACTGCGACCTCTGAATAGATTTAATTCAGTGTTCTTCTCATTTTCTGCATGTTTAGAGATTTGCCTGACAAAATCTATGTTGTTATTTTTTGTGTTTTTGGGTATCAGAGTATCAGAGCATCAGGACTCGTTCTGCTGGAGGCGATTCTATGCGGAGCTCTTCTTCTGTACTTCCCGGTAAGAAACCTGATCATCTTCACTGAATAAACATCTGTTTTCCCTTGGAAAATGTGTCACGGGCTGCATAGCGTTGACTCGTAGCAGGAAGGTTGCAGGTTAAAATCCCAGCAGCATCCTTTTTTAGGGGAGTTGACAGGTTTTTTTCCTGGTTCTCCTGCTTCTTTCTGACAGGGTGGCACTTGCCCACTATGGGCACCTCCTAGAACCACCCCTGTCTCTGCAGCCCTAGTGAGGAACAGCCGGTAAAAAAAAAAATATCAATGAATTATTATTTCTTATTCATCCAAAACTAATTGAGAACTTTAGGAGAACATAAGAAAAATGCACATATTAACATACATATTACAGATGTTTGGACTTTTTGGGTTAAAACTAGGGAGAAGTTTGAATTTTAAACAAACAGAAAAGACACAGACAGGTAACTTGTTTTTAAAAATGGGCTTTTTAGCCTCTGTGATCAGTCCCGGGTTAAAAACACTTTTTCTCCAAAGTAAGTCTGTTCAGAAAGTTATTTACAGGAAGAAAAAACCTGTACCTGCTCAGCATCGTCAGTGCGCCCCAGGGCAGCTGTAGCTACATCGTCACCATCAGTGTGTGAATGTGTGTGTGAATGGATGAATGATGCACTGTAGTGTAAAGCGCGTTGGAGTCCTTACTCTGGGAGGCGCTGTACAAGCGCGGGTCATTTCATTTATCACAGAATGGTTAAAAGTCCTTTGAACTAATATTACTTCCTCAAACTCATATACACTTCTCATCATTTGCTTCCCTTTCTGACCTGTAAACAGAATAAAAACTTCAACTAATTCAACTTTTGATGGATTTTCTCTACAATTCGGAAAGTTATTAACTCTAAACTTGTGTTTTAATAATAAACTTTAAACCCAGATTTAAAAAGTCACTCCCTATTTGATAGGAGTCATTTACAAAAATGTAAAAATCTTTTATTTCCAGCTTTTTTAGCATAAATTATGAGCTTATTCCTCTTGAATTTCCGTCTTTTGGACACTGATGACTGAATCAAAACATTCATTTTAACCCTTTGATGCATAATGGTCACCACAGTGGACAGGTACTCAAAATTGTTATATATTTGTTTTTGCTATTAAGCACAGCTGTTGAAGACTTAATTGCATTTGAGCCCCTCCATTTGGACTTCAGTAAGCCAAGCCACCATATTTCACGTTCAGAATGCACATTGTCCACTGAGGTGGACATGTAATGAATTATTTGTAAATTATAAAATTTTACAAAAAAATTTGTTGAAATTTGTTTCATTCACACATAAAGACCAATAAAAAAAGTTGTTAAAAAATCACGGTTGAAGATTTCATAATTCATGCATCAAAGGGTTAATAACCGTCTTTTGTGTTGCATTTGATTGGTGAGAAAATCATTACATATGCTCAAATGGCAAATTTTGTTAAAACTTTAAAAGTTTATTTTTTGTAGTTGTAGGATGTCCCGACAGCAAATCAGACAACAAATGGTTCATGACATCAGCTTCACACCTTTTCTTATTTATTGCTACTTTTCAGTTTAGCCCAGCATTTACTACAGACTGAAGCTTGATTAACCACAAACTGCAATAAAGTCTTGAACAATAGATTTATTTAATCCACACCAATAAAATGTTCTGTTGCCAAATTCTTCACCACTTCATGATTTGTTTTCAGATGATTAGACTCCACTCAACGCCCGCACAACTATTGATTTACCTTGAACCGCCATTATATCTTCTTCTTTAGTGCTTCGGGGATAGGATAATCGCAATTTAGTTGCAATCATGTGGCGCTGTGTGCTTAGTGAAGCAATATGAAGTAAACGTAATTAAAGGCAGCTGATTTAGAGCAGGCTAATCAATGCAATTTGCGGCGACAAGGACCTGGAAGGTTTGCAAAGTGCAGAATGAAAGCGAGCCTGCAGGGTTATTGCTCACTGAATGAATGATATTTCTGTACCCAGCTGGTGTAGTGATGGATGCTAAAAATAGAAAGATGTTTCACTTTGAGCTGGGAGAAATTTATTTTTTATTTTTATTTTTTACCAGTTCTGCAGAGATAGTCACTAGACTGATCTTGTTCGATAGGATGATACATTTTGCTCAGTGGTGTGAAAAGATCTTCCTGCATGGTGCGGTGCATGTGACTGATCTCCACCCTGGTGCATTTGCATGTCTCCCCTGTGGATCCTGCACCAGGCGAGGCTACGAGGGGCGACACGCATTCGCTTCCAGTCTAAATATAGATCCAGAAATGTTCCAGCACTGCTGTTTGTCGCCGCTGCTTTTGTTTTGAACGATTATTAAGCAGCAGGACACACATCTCACCCTGTTCCTGACATTTTACTTCAAGTAATTCCATTTTTTCCCCTCTTCATCCAAATGTCTCTCCACCCTGAATGTTTCCTGAACACCTAAAGATCTGCTCCAAACACAGAAATATGTTTTCTGCATTTCAAACAAGCAGAACTATTCAGGCGGTCTGTTTTGCCCGTCAAAGCTGCAGCAGAGCATGAAAAAAAAAATCTACAGTGAGGAGGTCATTCTTTGGACTGACTGGTTAGTCTTGTGTGGCTTCTTAGGTCTAGTCCACACATAGCCGGGGTTTTTTTAAAAACGAATATCCGCCCCTCCAAAAACTTGCATCCACACCACCTCGTTTAAAAAAAACTCTGTCCACACGTACCCGGATAAATACGTTGTTAAGGACATGCCAGGCCTGTAGGTGGCAGTACTTCCCCCGTTCTTAACCTCGTCCTTCGTCTGTGGTCTTCCGCAAGGAGCAGTAATTCCGCTTGCAAAAACAAACAAGCAGAAAGCGCTTGGACAATTGATGAAGCGAGCGCAGCTCTGAGGGCATCCATGCTGTCGGCTAGTGTAAACACAGGTCGCACACGTGATGTCAGCATTTTTTTGTCGCAGAAAGTGACGTTGCGGACCTTAAAACTCCGGTTTTGTCCGTCCACACGCACACACCCAAAACGGAGAAAACGCAGATCTTCACTTTGGCCGGAGTTTTTAAAAAGATTCGTTTTTGTGTGAAAAAAAACTGTTTTCGTGTGGATGACAGGCCAAAACGTAGAAAAATATCTACGTTTTGGCAGATCCCCGGCTACGTGTGGACAGGGCCTTAGATTTTTATTCAGGAAGGCAGAAGAAAATGTTTTAATTGCTGCTTCATCTGTGAAATTATCAGAAAGTTTTACTCAAAGGTTCTGAATCAAGACAAATGACCATGACCCGTAACATCAACATATACCGTACGCTCATTTTCCTTCATTTTTATTTCAGTGCTTTTTACTCATTTTAGTTAAATGTTTTTACTTAAGTTTCTGCTCTGAGTGAAATTCCAGCTTCATTATATTACTTTGAGCATAATTTCTTTTTTTTCCTAGCATTTTCTGGACATTTGGTAATTATTTAGCTACGTTTGTAGGAATACTTGATCTCAAAATGTACGTTTAACATAAAGTATTTGTTTGTTTGTTTGATAATTATCACTAATCTAACCCTTTTGAATCTGTTGCTAAACATATTCTGCACCTTCACCACGTATAAACTTTATTTTCTTTGTAGAAAAAAACGCTCATTTTAGTTCAATGTGAGCATTTTTTAACTTAAGTTTCTGCTCTGAGTTCAATTCCAGCTTCATTATATTGCTTTGAGCATTATTTCATTTTTTTCTAGCATTTCTGGACCTTTGGTACTTATTTAGCTACGTTTGTAGGAATATTTGATCTCAAAACTTTAGTTCAGTTTGTTTGCTTGATGATTATCACTAATTGTGTCATGTGTTCATGATCTAACAAAGCCTTTTAAATACAAGCAACATGATAGTGAGGCTGAGAGAAGAAATTGAGAGTTTTTGCAAAATTTTCAAGACATTTTGGAAACTCCTTAGACGCATTAAAAAACAATTAAACAATGTGTCTCCATCTGAGTCAGATACTGGCTTTAGGCCAGTTTATTGGCCTTGCTGTGCACGGCATGGCAGGCAGGACTTCACAGCACATCAGGGGACTAATGAGAAACAGTACAAGCAGAAGATGGTACGTCCTCGTATGACAGACCATGAAACGCAGCCTGTCAACCGTTCCTCTGCCTTCCATCCAAGCTGCTCTGACACGTTCAATCTCACTCAAATAAATCCGAGGAGTTGTGTTCATTTTCAGCCATCCTTTCATCCTCCTCTTCTTCTTCTCCTCCAAAACCCTGCAGAGTCTCCTGCAGCTAAAGGTTTTGGTTTCCATTTTCCAGCACGAGCAGAGAGAGAGTTTAAGAGACTAGATAAAGAATGATATCAACGCCCGGTGTAGACTGGACTCGCTTTTGGTACATCTCCGGTTGAAACGATGGAAACATCTCTCAGGATGAGGAGGGAAGGGAATGGTGAGAGGCACCTCCAGTTTTGTACAGAAGCCAAGCTGGATGTAATTTACACTCGGACCACCTCAGGGAACAGCAGGAGAAGAAACCATTACCTCCCTCCAGAAATGTGCCCTTCCCACGTGGCAGGGAGTGTCAGCTTTCATATAAAAACGGATCCATTGCTCTTACAGCGCCCCATTACCGGCATCCTCCTTTTGGCTCACGAGGTGTGTGTGTGTGTGTGTGTGTGTGTGTGTGTGTGTGTGTGTGTGTGTGTGTGTGTGTGTGTGTGTGTGTGTGTGTGTGTGTGTGTGTGTGTGTGTGTGTGTGTGTGTGTGTGTGTGTGTGTGTGAGAGAGAGAGAGAGAGAGAGAGAGAGAGAGAGATGACCATATAAAGCCAGGAAGAGGCGAACTGGATGACTGCGACGTTTTCATGTCAAAACATTAAAAGTAGCATGAGAGCTTTGTTGTGACAGAAAGATTCCCAGAGCTGCAGCAACTCATTCTTCTCTCAGATGGAGACAGGCACAATAAATGGCTGAGAGTCATTGTTGCTTCCTCTTTTAGCTGGTAGCACTTTTCAAAGAGGCTGTCATGACAAAAAGCTGAATTGCAGCACTGTTTGTT